AGACACCACACCCCGCAACCCCGAGCCCCTTTCGAGACCCAACTCCCTATTCCAAAGAACTGTGGAAACCCGACAGTCGCCACTCCTTGTGACAGTCCGTTCTTCAAGATTGTGAACCACACCACCACTCCCCCGCTCCCCGCCCATCTACACTCTTCTCCCAGCTCCCGGGCGTCTGCATTTCTCAGCCGCACTTCTGAGGCCCTGGAAGACTCCACCGTCTTGGACCCCACCATGTGCCCCCTTCTACGCTGGGCAGACTCTGCCTCAACTAGACACCGTCTGCTCTGGACACTTGGAAGTCCTTTCCCCTGGCCCAGTCTGTCTCCAGACCCGCGCCCAGGCCCTCACCTCCTTCCCTCACCCGCCCTGCCGTCACGCCCCGTTTACCAGTGGACATGGCGGACGCCAGCAGGAGCACGAGGACCAGTGTCCACGCCAGCCCTCCGGGGGTCTGAATGCCGGGCCCGGGAAGCAGGTTCGCTTGCGAGGCCCTCCTCATCCTCCGCAAGGCGGCTGCGGCCATAACGGTCTTGGCCGGGAGCCTGCGCTGTTGCTAGGCTTACGTCATGACGTCAGACCTTGCGTAAGGCAGCGCGGTCCTAGGCATCTACGTCCCAGCGCGATGACGTAGCATCTGGAAACAGGAATAAGGAGGAAAGGTGGTGGGAATTGCCTCTTGGGCATAGCTCTGCGCTCCGGCGCGTGTTACGAATGTGGTGAGGAAGGTGCTAAAGAGGGCCAGGCAAGCCCCTCGCTGCCTTCCGTTTGTCGGGGTACCATGCTTCCAATAAGAGAGTTTAAAACATTTTTTCAAGAAAAATGTAGCTGTTTCAAGTAGACTGATCATGAAAGTGAACTCCCCCACCTCCCAAAGGCAATGGAAACCAGAATAGTAATAGTGGTCATATCTGGGTGGTAAATATTATTATTATCGTTCCCACAATCAATTATTATTTCGACAAATATTTAGCACTTCTCCATATTATTATCAATCCCACAATCATTTATTATTTCAACAAATATTTAGCACTTCTCCATATTTCAGGGTACAGCAGAAAACAAAATGAACCACAAAGCCTTTGTAAAGTTTATTGGGAGGGAGACAACAGCGGGAAGCATAAGAAGGTAAAGAAGAAACAGGGAAGGTAGCTAGAAGTAGGGCTGCGGGGGTCACCATTGTGAAGAGCTTCCAGATTTCCTAAAATACACTTTTGTTACTTTTTAAATTTTGTAAGTTAAAATACAAAACCCCCAGTATATGAAAATGCAAATTTAGAAACTTCCAGGAAGTTCACTTGGGCCTTGGCATAATGCGTTGGTCTGTGTGTTCCTTCTGTGAATATTTCCTTAATAAACAGCTATAGGCTTCAATTTATAAAGGTCCCATTTGATTAATTGTCACGAAAGTTAGCATGGCATAAAGACATTTATTGTGTCCACAGTTTCACCACTGTCTGTGACTCCCTCAGAAGATTGCTGCTGTCCCCAGAGACAGCTGAACTGCCTCTACAGAGTAGAGAAGGGCCTGTGTTCTGAATCTGTTTTTCCCATAGCATTTATCTGGCTCGAGACAGCTCAGAAACACTTAAGTCTGTGTTAAGAAAACTAAGAAGCCATTCATCTGCTTATTTTCCAAAGTCCACCACAAGCCCATATAGACGGAATGGTGCCCTCATTACAAAACTTCCAAGTTAGCCAAAGCACACAGTCCCCCCACCCCCACAGCGCCCAGGAGCTTTCACTCCTGTGAGTACAGAAAACACCCCTCAGGCTAGGGATGAGCTCTATATACTGCATTTACCTAGCCTGTACAAGGCCCTGGGTTCCACGCCCTAGTACTACTGACACAAAAGATAAAAAGGGCCAAGGGTGCTGGGTATGGTGACCTACCCCTGTAATCCCAGCGGCTAAGGAGGCTGAGACAGGAGGATTGAAGTTCAAAGCCAGCCTCAGCAACTTAGTGAGACACTGTCTCTAAATAAAATGCACAATAGGACTAGGGATGTGGCTCCTAGTTGAGTGCCCCTGAGTTCAGTCCCCAGTACCAAAAAAAACAGGGGGGGGGGGGGGCTGGGGTGGAACCAAAAAGATAAAAACTAGTAGCCCAAGCCCAAGCCCCTGAATGGAAACCCCAGTGCTGCAAAAATAGATGCATGAAGTTTTTGTTGTTTTGTGTTTGTTTTTTTTAAGAAAACACTCTCAGTTTAACAATTAAACCTCTCAATCCTAGCTCTTGCTTGTTTGGAAATTGCTTTAGACTTAAATAGGATTTTTTCCTGTAATAAACACACCTCAATCCTCTTCTCTGAACCTTTGTCCACTTTGTTCATTTGTCTTCATAACAGATTGTTTCCAGTTCTCTTAACTAATATTATATACTCAAGACATTTTCATTTTTGCATAGGATATTCCAATGCACAGCATACAAAATAGGCAGACACTTATTAAGTAATTGGTGAGCAAAATGTTCCCTCATATTGAGGGCAGTTATACACTTCAAAATATTTAATACTATACTTGGCACCTGTCCGGATACACTCAGCAACCTGTTTACCAGAATCTCTGGAAAAATTCTAAACATTTACTTAGAAACAAGTTGCAAGTCCTTGTAAACCTGATGAAGATAGTATGACAAACACTAAGGCCCACAGTTCTGGGTAATCAGTTACACAAAATGCTAAAAATAAATCTGATACCTGTTTTGAATGTCACTATTAAACAACAAAAAAAAGTCTGCCTAAAAAAACAATCAGTGGGGAAAATGTTTGTATTTGCTGAAGTTGGATAGTTCATTACACTTTTTTGTGTGAGTTACCCATCATAATAAAGTTATACACACACACACACACACACACAAATATATGGAAAAATTCCAAAATGAGTGCCTCCATGACCAACAGGGAAAAATCTGTGGATATGATGGTATTTTTATCTATGCTTAGGTTACTTTACCCCACAGTTAAATTTATGAAAACATTACTCTCAGTGGGTCTAAACTAATCCACTAAGACCTTGAAAGGGATGGGGATCTCTTGGAAGAGTATAAGATGAATATGACATGAAAGTTTTTGTTTTGTTTTGTTTTGTTTTCCTGGCATTGGAGATGAAGGGGACCATGTGGTAAGATATACTGGTAACCTCTAAGTACTGAGGGTGAACCCAAGCTGACAGCCATCAAGGAAATTCAGACCTCTATCCTACAAGCAAAAATAACTGAATCTACCACATCTATGTAGGTCTAGAAGGACCACAAGCCTCTTGCTGGGATGAGAACATAGCCTGGTTAACACTGTGAGAACCTGAGCAGAGAGCCCAGGTAGGTGTGCCACGGTTCTTCTGATCTGCAGACTGTGACAGAAATGAGTGTTCTTTTAAGCTGTTAAGTCCATAGTTATATAGCAAGAGAAAACTAATAAAACACACACACACACAGTACAGAGCAAGGGGACAAAGAACAAATCTAAACAAGTGCCCTTTTCATATATATATATATATATATATATATATATATATATTTTTTAGATAGATAGAGAGAGAGAGAATTTTTTTTAATATTTATTTTTTAGTTTTTCGGCAGACACAACATCTTTATTTGTATGTGGTGCTGAGGATTGAACCCGGGCCGCACGCATGCCAGGCGAGCGCGCTACCGCTTGAGCCACATCCCCAGCCCCTCATATACATTTTTGTTAATAAGGACAAAGGACAATAGGAGGAGGAGGAGGAGGTTTCAATATTTTATTCAAGTTTTATTTTAAGTGTTGTTAATTACAGCATTTGAAGGGGAGGATCTAATTCCACACAAAATGGAAGACTCTAAAATGTACCCATTAAACTGCTAAAAAATAAATTGAGTGGTGAGAATACAACAGAAGTCCAATTTAGATTCCTAGTGTTGTCACTGTGTGATTACAATCACGCAGACTCTTCCCAGCCTATAGCTGGAGCTCCTGGAAGCTATTTCAGACACTGGTGCAAGGGCAAGAAAACCACAACACAAAAAGGAATTAAATCCTGAATTATTGGCTTCATCACGTCCACCCTCTCCATTCCAAAATGGCACGAAAAAGAAACAGTGACCACACCCTGCAGACTACTTTTGGTGTAAAAGAGGTGACGATGGGCTAGAGTGGAAAAAGGTTATGAAGGTCTGTCTAAAAAAGTCCCTTTCAGATGAGTTTGTACACACCACCAAGCAATGAGCTCCTCATCAATTAGGGTTAGGAAACCAAGGTTTGATTTTCAGGAAGTCACAATTCCATTCATTTACTCAATACAGATTTACAAAGTGCCTATACATTATCAGCTTCCATTTGCAGCCATTTCTAGATTAAAAAAAAAAAGTAAACCTGGCATCTCTAGAGGGGTCACCAAGTCCCTCACACACACACACAAGTCTACAGCTGAAAGGACCTTTTTTTGGACTCGATTTCTTCTGTACCTCTGAAATGGTAACACTTTAAAGCTGAATCCTCTTTCACCTGGAGGTCTAACATGATTTTTAGCAATTCTTGCATCCCAGACATACAACATTAAAAGGTACACTAAATTCTGAAGGTAGCTATGCTGCAAAATAGTTTAAAATTAATGATTGTACAGTATTCATTTATGCTTGAAATTCCAGTCCTAGACCAAGCTTGTGGCCACCAGCATTGACATTCTTGCCATCCAGCAGAGCTGACAGTGTCAGTTTGATACCTGCAGCAGGAAAAGGAAAGGAGGAAGGACGGAAGAAAGAAAAGGGAAAAAAGGTTAACACCAAATTCAGAATCTGTATCCTACAGTGAGCTTATACAACAAAATTACCATTATTCCACAGACCAGAAGGCCTGTCTAAATCTACCCTGGAACTCTACTTCCTTCTCCTCTCATCATCCCCCAGCTACAAGTAGTCTATCTACTGCAGGTACCGCACAGTAGGCTTCTTCAGCAATGGTGCCTTGAAAGGGAATCCCAACCCAAATCAGTCCCGAAGTCTTACACTCACCTCCACAGCATGCACACATGTATAGCATGCATACATACATGCTCGCGCACACCCCCCCAAGTGATTTTCCCAAGAGTAGCTTGTAATCTTAGATCTAAAGGGCTGATTTCCCCAGGAGTAACTTGCTTCTAACATCATATAAACCTAGCCTTCCCTAGATTGAAAGATGGAATTATCTCCTAGAGCTCTCACACATCTAGCAGACTATACAGAAGATAACCTGCAAACAACTTTTCCTATTTCTCTTTCTACAACAGGAATGATTTATAGGATAGTTTTTCAGAATCTGCTGGAAATAAGTATCATTATTTATATACACTGGAAAAAAAGATGGAAGAAAGTAACCAAAATTGTAACATATGTTAATCTCGGCCTTTTTTCCTCCTGATTACTATTTTTCAAATTCTTCAAATGTTTTCAATTTGCAGTTCCTTTATAAACATTTAATCATAAAACTTTACACACACACTTTTATAATGTCCTATATAGGCATTTTATAAGCCACACATAAATCAACAAGCTAGCATCACAATTTTCTTAAGAC